GAGGACATAAACTAGCGTTCTCCCGTGACCCAAAGCTCAGTATACCGCGAGCTACGGCTCGCGGTATATTGAGACCGCCGCAGCCGAGACGGAATCCGACATTACTGTCGAGATTCACCCAGCTGCGTGATTGACAGCTGGCTCTGCCTATCCAGAGGCAGAGCCAGCTGTACCCGCCCCCTCCCTCGTTCATTCCTCTAGTCAGCGCTAGAGGATCGGAGCGGGGAGGAATCCCCGCAGGGAGCCATGAGTGACAGTCAAGGCTCTCTGCAGGGACAGGATCGAGAAGTGAGCGAGCGACGTTATGTGTTCGCACCATTACCGATCTATTGAGCCGACGTGTGACAGTTTCATTGTCACACGTCGGCTCGAACTATAAGGTTGAGTGAGAATCACTCACCTAATGTGACTCATGTTCTCTCATGTGGAACACGGGGTGTATTACACTATTGGCTCACAGCACAACACAATGTTTAATATAATGTTCTATGCACTTTAAATAATTTGATTACCACCAAGTGTAATCAGATCCACAATTATGTAGATAATTTTTGAAGGCTGCTCCTTCTTTCCTTTTCATTTTTCTTTAAGAAGTAAAAGGTAAATAGCATCTTAATGCTCTGCTATGGTTTTGGTATAACATAAATATAACAAACATAAATATAGATGTTGTGAGAAAAAAACAATATTAAAAAAGCTTTATTCTTGCCTCTTGCTGGGGTCTGAAAAGGACTCAAAATAGAGCCTAAATTGTTTTTCTATAGTACATTCTCACAAACAAAATGAAAGCACTGCTGGATTTGATTTATGAACATGGAGAATTATGCATTGATATAAAGACTTTAAAACAACCTGTAAATATTGAGCAGTATTAACCTGTTCCTGGTGATGCTGCTATTCACAACTAAATCATATTTATTTAAAATAGCTTTAACAGGCCTATATTATTAAGCAATTCCACCACCACACATAAACCATATAAAAAAGCCATTTGATATAAAAAAAGACCGTGGAGCTGTCAAAGCCACATTAGGAGATGAGAATAAATGTGTGACTCAATTTCACTCCAGGAGAAAGGTTCGTTTTAAGTCGGCATGAACATAGCGCATCCTTCATCATTCTATTTTGGTGAATAACAGTAAAATAGTCTATTTAAGACATCCATTTAAATGCAAATTTGGATATCCCAGGAGGAAATGTTAATCATTTACAAGAGAATCTTTAAGACCGTTCTCAAGGCAGAAATGCCAGTTGGTTGGCACACAAAATAGAGCCAGGTTCAAGCATTGCCATAATGACATAAAAACAGAGAACTAAGTTAGGGAAGAGCTAAAGATTTGCTTTAAAATAATGCCAAAGGAATGCTGGGACCCAGTATAAATCATGGCTTGCCAGGCCTAAACCCCTCTGCTCCTTCACATGCTGATATGTGAAAAGAAAACAGAATTTTAGCATCTCCCAGGAGAGCATCTAACTGCTTTTAAAGGCCTGAACATCAAAAGGTTCTTTGCTTCTGATAATATAAAGTATGAATGAAAATTCAATAGAATGGAAAGAATTTATATTCTCTATTAAAAATCTGCATAAGAGAAGCACAAAATAACAAACACATTTCTATAACTATATGTTGAGGGGTTCGTATATAAAAAAATACATACAAACATTTTTTTTAAAAAAACTGCAGTTATAGTATATGCCTAGTTATAACAAATATATGTCTTATTAGATTTAAAAAAAATACACTTTCCAGTTTTACTTGATTTGCAGTTCAATCTAGATGTGATTTTCATTTTAAATTCTACCAAGTTCAAAGGAACATTTGTGGGTGCATATGAAGTGCACTGCCATGCTAACCTTACAATGGGATCAAGGGAAGTAACAAATGCACTGCTCTCATCACAGGGGAAACATCTAAGGTCCAATAAATAAAGAGACATTCATATTCTCAGGCATAAGTGAATGATGATGGCAATTTAACGACCTTCTATTTAATGGAGCACAGACTTTGCCCTTCTGTGCTTGCTACTTCTATTGGCCTCCTCATTTTCTTTTGAGACCAATCTAGTCTCAGCCAGCCTTTAATGTGGTAATTAATGGGATTCTGATATAGGCCAACAGACCTTTTCTTTTTACTTGAAAGAAGTGAGTTCCTGACACCCAAGTCATAAACTCAATGTTCTCTTCAAAGCCCCCTTCCCCTCATTTTTGTTTGGGGGATCTTTTCAATATTAGGGAAATGCCCCAATAGTAGGAGTAAAATCAAAGCTTGCATGCTAAGTGCTACTGAATTCTAAGGATCCATCAATGCACATACAAAGATTTAGGCATATTTGAAGGTACTTGTAGTCACATTACTAGTATGTTAGACAAGTTGTTTTTTATGATATATGTACTTTTAAAGGTCAGCCACCCGAAGGTGATATTTTAGTTTTAGGCTGTGTCACAAATAGAGGTACTGAGGTTGCAGGGACAAGGTAGGCCAGGCTGGGCACATAGTATTGTGGTCAGTAGCAAATCCTCTGAAATCGACTAGTACATTGGCAAACTATTGTGAAACTCACAGTCCAGAAACAAGTAACAACAGTAAAACACTATGCACACACTAACATCCCACTGTTGCTACCAGATGTTAAGGATCACGCCAATAGGGACTTGCTAACTGGAGCAAGATTCTTGTTTAGTGAAGGAGAAATAAGGAGACAGCTTGCCTTGGGTAGGTGAAACAATTATCACAACCTGCAATACTGGCAGCCACCACTAGACCATCCAAAAATCTAGCTGGCTGGATACACACAGGCAGATACTGGTGCATTCTAAGGGTGTGTAGAAGCTAGATGGTTACCTTCATTATTCTGAGATTCCACAAGCTATCCTGTGAGCTGGAATCCTGGCACACCACACATATACTAGGCACATAATATAGGGTAGCCTGCCACCACCTGCAGTTTGTGAGATCACTAGTCTACTTGGCAACCGCACACACATTCCTGACTACCGAGTATAAACACACTATTGATATAATGAATTATAGTATAGGTTGGTATACAGATGGCCACTTATTAATTTTGTATAATTATTGTCCCTAGGCGGGCAGTGCCTAAAAATATTTAATGATATTTGAACTGGATTTCAACCAAGAGCAGCCTAATCTCTACTTTTGAGTATAAGCATACTACATGGGTGAGACTTTTTTGCTGCCTAGCCGCATGGAGGGGGAGGCAAAATCCAGGGAGAACCTAGGCATGAATTATAAATCTGATTTCATGACTACGTATCACCCCTATGGAGGACCTGAAGTGCCAGGACAATAAAGTCACCCACAAAATGACCACATTTTGGAAATCAGACAAAACTGAGTCTTTTTGAAATTTTCCTTTTTTTACCACAAGCTTTTTGAAAATGAAGAAAATAAAAATGTATATTTAACACAAAGTTGTCATTTTAAGAAGATATTTCTCACACAGAGCATGGGTATACTTACAATTATACGCCAAAATAAATTCTGCTACTCCTTCTGCATACAGGGATACATGTGTGAGACACTTTCACTGCCTAGGTGGGGCCCAAAATCTAGGCTTTCAAGGGGCATAAATTACAGATGTTATTTTCTGACTACTTATCAAATTTTTTGGAGGCTCTGAAGATCTAGGACAGTAGAGACAACTGTCAATTGACCATACAGTATATTGTAAAGAAGACTCCCAAGGTTTTTGGTAAGAAGCTTAGCTAGTTTGAGTTTGATGATTAAATTTTTTGCTAAAAGCTTTTTGGAAAATGAATTTTTTTTTTTTTACACAGAGTTATTTTAATATAGGAGGGGGGCCCAAGATAAGATCTTGCACCAGGGCCCTTTGGTTATTAGGTCCACCACTGCACACATGTGTATACCAAGAATTACAAGCCAAAACACATTCTGCTATCCCCTTTGGCTGTGATCAGCAACCTGGGAACACTGGTGCTGGCTGTGATCTGCAAACCAGAAACATTAAAGCTGACTTTGGTCAGGAACCTAAAAAACTAGCACTTGCTATGGTTAGCCAAACTGGCACTTGCCAAGTTCAGCAACACTGGCACTTGCTATGGTCAGCAACACGGACACTTGCTAAGATCACCAACACTGGCACTTGCTATGGTCAGCAACACTGGCGCTCGCCATGGTCAGCAACACTGGCGCTCGCCATGGTCAGCATCAGTGGTGCTCGCTATGGTCAGCAACACTGGCGCTCGCTATGGTCAGCAACACTGGCGCTCGCTATGGTCAGCAACACTGGCGCTCGCTATGGTCAGCAACACTGGCGCTTGCTATGGTCAGCAACACTGGTACTTTGCTGTGATCAGCAACACTGGCACTTGATATGGTCAGCAACAGTGGCACTTGATATGGTCAGCAACACTGGCACTTGATATGGTCAGCAACAGTGGCACTTGCTATGATCAGCAACAGTGGCACTTGCTATGATCAGCAACACTTGCACTTGATATGATCAGCAACACTGGCACTGGCTGTGTATTAGAGACACTGTAATTTACCTGTCACAGCTAATGTTTACACTTGTGATTGCTGTAATTAGTCAGTTAAAGTGGTTCTGTACCTTTTATCTCAGATCTGCACTGTCCAATGACAGCGTGAACAATTTAGCTGTAGAAAACAGCAAAAAAGAAGACATTTCAAAATTGTTAATAAATGATCCAGGTGCCATAAAAGCTAGCCCCAACTCCCAAATACTTGCACATGGTTATGTCTTACAAAATATGTAGCCTGTAAACTACTGCTATAATGTGTTTCATTTGGGCAAACAGCAATGTGTTTTGACACTGCTATGGAAGAACTGACAAGGATCTGTAGAGAAGATAAACGTTTCCATTGACATAACTACACTCAAAAATGTCAAATATCCAGGTATTCAAATGAAAATCATCAAACATGTCTGAATATCTTAATATGTTAAAATGTTCAAAACATGGTTTGCAAAGCTGTAAAAAGAAAATGGGGCACTTACCCAGCATTCCCATCCCCAGCATGAATGCGTCCATAGTATAGGGTAGTCCCCTCGCTCTTCCTCTTGTCCCAGGAGGAAACATAACCTCTTTAGGTTGTGCTTTCTTACATTCTACCTGCAATTTGGAAAAAATATACACAATGAGATGTAAATGCATTGCTTTCAAATGTCAAATAACAAAGCTGAAGGCAAAATGTGCATTTTTTTCATTCTTCTGAAACTGAGAAAAGAGGACATTTACTGCATGCATATTAGTTCACAATGACTAAATATAAGATACCTCATCAAAGCCTATATAGCGTTACAGAAGTTACACAATATGTTAATGCAAAAGCACACAGGTTAAAATCCCCATCAAGTTAATGTTTGCTGTCTGAGTACTATTTACCTCTTATCCCACAGATGCAACAGGAAGTTGGAAGAAATTTCCTAAATGTGGGAAATGTTCCTCTTAGACAGTTGTTATCGAACAGGTGACCCCATTGAAGGATTTATCCTTACTTCTTCTTCTGATGACAACTCTAAAACTTTGTATTACCCATCACTTTCTGTCTCAGTAACAATGGTCACCAGTACAAATTGAATTGCTGTCTGTGTCCCCAACTGGGACACAGACAGCAATGAAAGCTTTACTAAGGGTATTTAACCCTTTCCTACTCTATACGAAACTAAAAAGGTTTTGCCTTTACATATAAGCTCTGATTAAGGGGTCTGCCTTTGAAACAGAACAGCTGTAATGCACGCTAGAGACAGTGGCTGCATGCTGCCCGACAGGATCTAGTACAGGGATTTCTTCTGTGCAGTGAGGATTGAGCACAACATTATTTTATATGACAGAGCTAGTCTTTACTATATTTAATAAACATGTCACACAATGCTTGTGCACTTTATGATTATATGATATGTTCTATAGTGTTTTATAAAGAGTTACATACAATATTTCACTACTAGTTTTAGTCTAGTGGCAGATATAGCCTAAGGTTATCATAAATAAAAGCAGCACCCTACTACTTCTTTCATTTGATGATTTTATATCAGGGGTGTGGAATTCCTATCACCCGGGTGGCGGGCGACTGCTTTTTTTATACTTAGCACTCCTTTGGGCAAGCAGGGCTATATGTACAGCAGGGGAGCTGGCACTCATTTTGTCACTTGTAATTAACATGTTGCTCTGTCCCCACCCCCTGCCAGCTCCCCCTCAATTGTCCGTCCCCCTCCACTGGATGCCTCTCTCCCCGCTGTGGTTTTTGGAGTCCCCGCTCTTCTCGGGGACCCGGGGCTATGGCAAATTACATCAGGATGGAGAGCAGGGAGCAAAGTGGAGAACGTCTGTACTCCGCTCTGCTCCATGTTAACAGTGCGACAGGAACACTGTATTTACAGCCTTCCTGTCTCAGCTGCCACAGGAGTTTGAGCACAATGCTGTGCTACTTGTGAGCAATCATTGTTCAGCATGGTCACCTGACTGCGCTGACAAGTAATACGCACTTCTTAGCACGGTTAAATATGGTTTTGGTTAAAAAAATACATTTTTATCAGGACAAGTAGATGGTCATAAGGGACAAGTAGACTGGGCCCCCACTTTAGTCCTTGGACAAGTAAATTTTTTTTACATTTCCACAACCCTGTATATGATGTGTTTTATAATATGATGTGTATATGGAAATGCCACGCTGTGGAACCATCAGTAAGATGATATGTTGGAATTTTTAAGTAAAAAAACACAATCATCTTTCCATTACTAGAGAATTCTGAATCCGATGAATTACACTGTCAAATAGCTGTAATATCCTGAGAACCATTACTTGTCAGTCAGTGTTTTAATCATAGATTTATGTTACACTACACAATGTGTCATCTCTTCCACACTGGACACACAGCAGGGAACAGATCATAGCACTGTGTTCTACCAGTCGTGTGCTCAGAGGATTGCAATGTGCCAGGAACCAATTCCGACACTATGCTGTTTTCCATACAGAATTGTCCCTGTTTAATATGAGGGTGTCATTTCTGTACCTGCTATTGTAAAGGAAAAAAACTGGGGGAAAAAAATCTCTGACACCACAATCATTTTCTTATCTGGTTCACCATAATTTAGGTTTAAATGTCACTTTATAACAAGGCAATTACTGACTAGTGATCATTAGCAAGTCATCCTCATTCATAGTGTCTTGTAAAATAATACACCCCGTACAAGTGCTGAGAAGTCAGCTCTATATCGCTGAAGATTCTTTTATCTACAGGTAGGAAAATGAACATTTACAATTGTTCCACATCATAGTTTAAAAGTTGAATTTTACAGATGGTAAGACATGGGTAACCAGACAAAATCAGCTAATGTTTATATTGCAAAGGTGACCCTAGATAACAGGTGTCTAACTACTCATTAGTCTCAGTATTACATCTGAAGGCCATAGACAAGAATGACTTACCAAGATGGCACCTCTGCATTGTCCATGAATAATAAGCATTCTATGATGACCTGTTGAGCTGTTATAAGGTTCTTAAAATGGCTAGCAAATAGTTGTGCAGTAAATAATTTTTTTTAACTTATTTTTCTTCATGGAAATGGTCATGGGTCACTTCCAATGGCTGGAAAGGCTCAGTACTGCACCACTACACAGGCCAACTGGAACCCAAATGCTTGCTCTAGTTCACTAAGCAACAATAATCATTTACTGAAGCTGGAAGGTGGCAGCCTAAGCATGTAGCACATTTTACATACATATCATCAACTCCCTTGTCTCATCTATATATTGGTAAGGCATGAAAAATGTTTTGGCTAACTCCCAGGATTACAAAAGAACCATAGTGAAATGCTAATGCATAAAAACCAAATATGAGCTCTGCCTAAAATTCTAGGACATCAGGGTGGATGAGCAGTAAAAAAGAACAATAGAGGACATAAGGGTTAGGCCTCATTCACACATATAGGACATTTCTAACCACATATAAATGCATGTAATCGTTTTATATGATATAATGCACACTGTGGGTCTACTTCCAACCAGGTGCATTCAGTTTAATTGTGATACGAAAAAACTGAAATATGTGCATCCACGGGCAGATTAGATACTAAGTCATGTCTAAACACATAAAAGCAAGTAAAAGCAAATAAAAGGGGATTTGAAGGGAAACAATGTGTCTGGAACACCTAAATACATGTAAACTTGTTTGTAAACGCATGTACATTTTACAAAACAAACACTATACTTCCCAGATCAATTTCCCCTGCATATAAATAAAACAAATGCAGGAGGCCCATGTGAATGAGGCCTTAGAGAAAATAGAAATTTTTACCTAGAGATTGACGTGCACGTTTCTTTATTTTTTATAACCATGTGCACAGAATTGTGATCACAATGTAGGAAGCCTTTAACATATTAGCATTGCCTGCTAAAGTCTATGGAGGCTCATTTTAAGGATCACATTTATTGCAGATAATTATGTCAAGTCTCTGCAGTTACTGTACTTCAATTGATAGCTTTAATGGGAGGATTGTTCTTGTGAAGAGCAGTTACATGTAACAAAGCCATAAATATTGCTTAGTGATCATTACAAAAGCACAGAGAAAAAAAATGGTATGTAGCAAAGTGTGGCTAAACATCTCGCTTCCTAATACCCCTATCAGTGACAGTCTATTCATTGTTTTACAGATACCTGCTGCCTGTTACTAAGCAACTAAATCAAAGGAAACCTCAAGTTTATACAATTTTCATTTAGGTAACAGAGGTTAACTCACTGTAATAGGATGATTTAAAACAAACACACCTACCCTTCGCTTTCCACTGTTCAGGCAAGAAACCCAAAAGCACAAAGGAAGAGCGAAAGCGAGAAACTGTTTTATTCCATACGCTGACATATCCTGATGTGTGAAATATTTTCTTTGATACATTTCTCAAAACACCTCCATATTTCACAATCTCTGATTGCTAGACATCCTTTGACAGGAATGAGGAAAGAAAATAAAGCCTCTAATCCCTTTCCTTCCAAATAAGACACACAACATGAAAGGGAAGTTGGAGCAAATGTTCATCGAACTGTGCATGAGAAGCCTAGATGCTGTACATGCTGAGTAGGGAGATAATACACATCACAAGAGGGTATCCTGTGGGGCGTTTACTTTAATGTGCATCCTCTTAAATGTCTACCAAAATATTTCTATTTGAACAGGAGCCACTCACAGCTTCTCTAAAGACACATCAGGTTAAAGAGCTTTTCTGGGAGGAACTCTCCATTAAAACTTCCTATTTCAGAACCATGAGCATGCTATGGGTTTAAAACAACTCAGTGGTTAGTGCTGCTTCCTTGCTACTTGGATTAAAGTCAGCGAGGAGTCATAAACAATCGGCTTCTACATTTTCCTTATATCTTTGTGAGTTTCTTTCCTCGGTCACTAGAAGGGAAAAAAACCACAGTAATTTGGCTTGGCCTAATTTTACCTTACTTTATACCTATAATTATGGTAAGAAGGTAGAATATAAACTAATTTAAATGAATTAGTTTACTTTGCTGACTGCACTGGCTCGGTACACAGACACTAGCGGGCATTGGGTGTGCCCAGGGGCCATTTGTAGAACATCCACCACTCTGCTGTTTCTTTTACAATACATCGGCAGGGAGGCACCTTACACATTCATTTAAAGTCGCTCAAACACCTAAATGGATGGAATTCAGTTTGCTAATGCACTGTATATCATAAACAATTGCATAATTTAAAGTGACACTAAACTCAGGAGTTAAACCTTAACAAACGCGTTCAAGTAACTTAACTAATAACAAAAATGTATCTTATTTGTGTATCACTAGATCCTCAAACCATCTGAATTGGTGCTGACACCAGGAAGTGGCTGAAAAGGGTTGGAGGAGACGAGCAGTACCGCAATGTAAAAAAGTGATGATGATGTTTTGGTTTTTTAAAGTGACCCTAAATTCAGCAGTTAAACCTTAAAAATGTATTCAAGCGCCTTAACTATTAAGAAAATGTTTACTAATTTGTGTATCACTCAGCTGTAGATCCTCAAATCATCTCTGAATTGGTGCTGAGACTGTCCTTCCTTCTAGTGGGTGGCTACTTTTGTTCCCCATAGTCCCTGTGTGTGTTGTAATGTTGCC